TTCTCCCTCCATTTTCTCCCTCTATTTTCTACATACATTTAAATAAGCTTGATGAAGTCCTTGGTCTCTCGCAGCTTTCTTCCCTCTTTTCCTTGCTTGCTCCTTGCTCCTTTCCCTCCTCCTGCTTCTTTGCAGTCATTTCCGGAGGAAGTAGTCATTCAGAAGCCCGGGATTGATTGATTGATTGCCTGGGGCTAATCCACAGCTGTAACCAATCAAGCAGGCTTATCTCTGATCTCTGAACTAATGGAGGATTTACAAGTTCCCTGCTGCAACCAAGGAAGTAACAGGGAGAGATGGCTTATAATTTGAGGTTTGGCTGCAGAGGGTGGGGGAGGGAGAGGGGAAGCACTTTGCTCATTATCCCCAGGATTTTCACTTTTATCCCATTTGGAGTAATTTACCCATGTTCTCTGACCTATGCCTTAGCTCCTCCCTGTGGGGATGGGAGGGAGGGAGGGAGGGGGGAAGCACTCTGCTCATTATCCCCAGGATTTTCACTTTTATCCCATTTGGAGTAATTTACCCATGTTCTCTGACCTATGCCTTAGCTCCTCCCTTCATTGTGGACTGGTAGTTTCCTCTTTTCAGACTGGGAGATTATGCTTCTAGCTTCCAAGAGAGGCAGCTATAAATTCACATTTGGCTTTCAGTAATGAAGAGTGTCTGTCCAAAAGGCTCATTCATATCTGCATTGTTTGAATGCAGCATTTCAGTTCATGCATTGCATAAAATAATGGCTAGTGGAAAAGTGGGAACTTTTGTTCTGTTTGTGAATATACAAGGGATAGAGGCATCTGAGACACATTCAGATGATGCTGAATCACAGTTTAATGCTGTGTCCAAATGATACCCAATTATTTTGCAGTAGCCAGTCCATTGAAATATGGTTGTAGGCAGCCCTGTTGTATTCTTCTGTTCATTCACTTGTCCTGCACTAGCTTTGTCATGGGAACAATGCTGCCTGGTTACTCTCTCACATGCATGCAACCTACACTTTTGGAAATGTTTGTTATATATTACTTCTATATTTGAACCCTCTCTGCTACCTCTGTTCATTCTTTTCATTACTTTAAAGGTAGCACTTTATTTTTCCCCCCATCCTCTGTGTTCATTCTCCCTTTGACTCTGGTAAATGTGCAGAAAGTGTGGAGATGCCATTTACCTTCCAAATATGAGCAGTGAAGTATTTCAGAGGCTGACAAAATGACTGTAATTTGCATTACTCTAAAATTAGAGTTGACTTTTAGAATCTCTGAGGAGGTGGTGGTTCTGTAAGTATCTTTTTCCTGTAGAATTAAACCACGGGCTTGTGCTGGATGTCATCACGCAAAACGTAGCTACAGCATTGCAAACATAATACCACAATGCAAATAATATTTAAATCAAAGGATTTTAAAACTGTGTACTCTGTATTAAAGTTTGTGTGTGTAAGGGAGAGGGAGAGTGGCTGACTCTTCACCTATGTTAATACAACACTATTTGTTTTTTTTTTCTGCAAATACAGAAGCCAAGGGGGAGGGAATATTTCATAAAAATCAATGCTATTGTGTCCTCTGGTCTAAGCCGTAAAACAAGAGCAACAGAAACAGTCCCTTTGAACTTGAAATCCCTTTTTAAGCTGCTGATCTAACCTAAGCAAGAGAAGGAGAATTTACTAGTCAGAAACATTTGTCCTTTTTCCCTCTGTTCATTTTCCTTTTTTTAACTCCTTAAGCAAGTTTGATGCTGCACCTCTGCCCATAAATTTAAAAAAATATTATTATAATGTAGGTCAGTGAACTGAAGCGCCACTATACACCACGGAGGATTAAAGTCAGAAAGGCAACCCTCTTCCACTCCCGCTAGGTCATATGACAATATAAACAAGAAATGCAAGGAGCCTTCAGCTTTTTCTTGACCTAATCCTTTGTTTATGCAGCACTTAAACTGACTTTTGGGGTCGTCTCTGTCTGGCATTAAAGCCCTTAAGCTTTTTGAAGTTTCCCTGAAGTTAATAAAATTAGTCTGCCCTCACGGCGAGGCCCCGTCTGCTGCCTCAGAAGAAGAGTATGTATCCGTTGTTGTCTTTGCAGCAATAGGTTATTTTAACTTCATAGGTTATAACCAGCAGAAACTGGAGGGGAGTTTGAGAGGGGACCAAAGCCCAAAAAGCTGCCCAGCTAATGGGTAAAGCGATTGCTCTAGTGTACATTCTGAGAATTCAAAGGAGATTCGAAGTCAGAATCAAGTGATTGGAGTTGAATTGCTGGTACATTAATAAAAGTTGAGTTTGAGTGGGAGTAAATAATATGGTCTTTTAATACGTATCAAAAGGAGTCTATGTCAGAATAAAGATGATATGAATTCAGTAACTGTTCGTATTGGAGGTGAGTGCGAATAGCATTTCTGACCAGCCATTTTTAATATACTGTACTAAAGGTATATTAAACCTTCAAATAAGGTTTCAAATAAACAACTTGTCGTCATGGAGTCAGGTTTTCTAGACAAACTGTAATAATTATGACATTCTTATATCATTATGATATTTGTATTCTTATATCAAGCATAATGTAAAAAAATGTAAAAAATGTTTTTGCTTTATACTAAGTGTAGATTGTGAGCAAAGTAATAGCAGTCGCTGTTATCAATCATCTTCCTAACACCTCAGAGGGACAAATGGAGTTTCAGTTACTGTTTATGCATACCTTTAAGTCAGGCTGGGAACAAATATTGTTGACATTGATTCTCAAGTTTTATGAATAAGAAACTTTACCTTGGGTATAATGGGCTAAATCCAGCATTTGTCTGATTGAGTTTTAAGATTATTATAGAGGTACTAGATAGCTCAGTAGTTTAGGTCCCTGGCTGCGAAGCCAGAGGTTGGGAGTTCAGTTCCCCCACTGTGCCTCCTTGACAAGAGCTGGGACTCAGTGTTCCCATAGAGTCCTTTCCAGCTCTGCAGTTCAAAGACTGTTATAGCAGAGCTAGTGAAATGAATGGGAAGCTAACCACAGTGTAAGTCCCATAAGTTTTAAAGGATCTTCTATAAGTAAGACCGATACTGGATTTAGCTTAGTGAATGTGTCAGTAGGCCAGATATTAGCTGCTGGAATCTTCCTGCAGTGTGCATTATGGCTGATGATTTATTATTGAATAGTACAGTATTTGTATTTTTATTGGTACCTTTTAACGAGGAGGAAAGTGGAATATAAATGAGGAAAGGAATAACAACATCATAGTCTAGTTGTTCTTTTGATCATTCCCCATCCCTCTCCCATGATAGGAGAGCAGTGCATGTAAGACAACTGTATATGACTAAGGGATCAGCTATATTGACTCTAAACACACACACACACACACACACACACACACACACACACACACACACACACACACACACCCACACACACACACACACA